GCTTGCACAGCTATCTTTGTGGGAACCAAATAGAGGGTCAACCTTGTGAGGACCCACCTTTGAAAGGTTGGGTAGTCGGGCTTTTCCTCTCATCTATGAACCATCTGTCCAAATCCAGAGCGCCCCTGTCCTCAGCCTGAACCTCACTGCAGACACTGCACTGCTCTTAGCTCAACCAACCTTGAACCTAAAAGCTTAGATTACTTGATACTTGCTGCTATTAGATTTGACTGTAAACAAAGACACATTTTTCCATTAAAAATAATCCAAAAAGTGCCAACAGCACACACAAGACAGGTCCAGTTCTACGACTAGCAGAGGGGAACATCTGTCAAATCAAAACAAATTACATTTTTCACAATAATATTTTGTAGGGTGCAAAGACCATTTTACCTAAGTTGGACATTTGAACATGAGTCAATAGCGACTGACTCACTTTGGCCATTAGTGGAAGTGCAGAAAAGTGCAGCTCCTGCTGTGCTTCAACGCCTGCCTAAATTTCTCCAACTTGTCTGTTGAACTTTAAACACTGTTGGAGCAAAGCAACTTCTGCTTTCTTGCCTTTTTCTGAACCGGTCTGCAACCAAAAGCATAGTATTGTACAGAAGAAATATGGATGACTGTGCAGTTCTTTTGGCAGCCCTTCCCATAGAGACTACCACCAGTGGGCCCACCTTCGCCACCAAAAATCTCTTAGCTCAGTTAGTGCAGTATTTTCTTTCCCCCATCATACTTTTCAAGTAGAAACAGGTAGTTACAGATTTGGTAATGACACCATGTTGCTGGTAAAAAGCACAGCAGTGATGCTGCAGTAATTTGTGGCGTGGTCGGCACAGCAGTGCACCCTAAACTGTAATCTTAAGAGAAATGTAACTGAAATACCGAAACGTAATGTTATGAATTTGGAGAAAGGCGTAATTCAAATATGAACACAAGTTTTCGTTAACTTCTGTTTTCTTGGAGCATGTTCTGCACCTTCTGGGTATCTATGCCCGAGCTTCCTCCTCACCCTTGATGCAAACGTGGGAGATGATCTTATTTATGTGATAAAGACGTGTAAGTGCGCAACGAGCCAGAGCGCAAGATGTGCCAGCAGTAGCAACATCACAGCGAGTAACTGAGCAAAGCTTGAGTTAGCATGGACGGACCAACCCCTCCAATGAATCCTCACAAAGATTGCATTGTGCGTGTGTGTGTGTGTGTGTCTGCAGCCTTGGCGTCACACACAGAAGCATAGAAACACGTTAACAGCTCCAGCAGCAACAACGATAACAACAGCAATGACAACAGCAACCTGCAGGGCGGCAACAGTCGGGTCAGGTTACCGTGGCAACCACAGCTAGCATTAGAAATAACACGAACAACAACAACATCAACAGTCTGGGTTTTTTTTTTTTTTTTTTTTTTAAGAGGAACATGAGTCAGTGTCTGTCTACAATTTTGGGGGAAACAAACAAACAAACAAAACAAAACATTTTTTTTGTCTCTGCAGGTTTTCGATGTTGCCACAAGTTCCCGTCAAACACGCTTTAAAAATCACATGTTCGTGTAAATCAAGCGAAACTCCAGGTCATCGGAGAGAACAAAGTATCCAGTCTGATCTGCTCGGCTCGACTCTCCGTTTCAGTCGTTTTCTATTATAATACAACTGCATCAGTGTCCTTGGGGTTGCTGTGGCAACACCGCCAAAATTCCTGTGATGTCATTCGTATGCGCCACAGCACAACAGTGGAGGATATCGAAGCGCTGGTATACCTGCTGCCAAACCGATGCCAAGTGTCTGCACCTCATCACCGGATCACGGTGTTGGTTTGTGTGGAGCCACTTTCCCTCACTGCCGGATTTCAAAAATGGCGGTTTGGAATTTTGTAAAGGACTTGCTCTCATGACACATCGAGGGACGCCACTGACTGGCCCATCTGCTGCATGCTGTCTGTTGACATGCAGTCACATTTTAGGACCATTCAGAAGCCCAATGGAGCAGGTACCAGGTACTACCACCTAATGGGAAACCCTGAAAACCGAGCCGAGCAGGTATTAGTGGAAAAGGTCCGTAAACAAAACTAAAGACTGCACAAAATCCAACTAATCATTGTTCTAATGCATGAAGCCTCCTAGTTGTTTGTAAATCATGTACAGTAAAACTCATATGCTTCATAGTCGACGCTGAGAGAACAAAACATACGACCACATGTCTCACAACCTAAAATTATCAAACTTTACCAGCAAGGATTTAAAAAATGTTTAAAACTGTGATTATCTGATACTTTGTTCTGCAGAGTTTTGATCTTTTAAAGTTCTTAAGTGGATGAAAATCACTGCGGTGCCCTGAAGATTAGAGGATGCTCATCTTTGAATAATCTCAAATCCAACTGTAAGAACTGACGGGACAACATTTAACACAGTTATGTTTAATCGTTAATCAGGTTTCAGTTCAATTTTAGTTTGTTTGAGTTTAGTTTTTAAATCAATGAAAGTGTTTAGTGTTAGTTTTTAGTTTTTAAAGGTTTCATTTCTTCCTTTTTCATTCAAATTTATTTTATTTTATTTAATTGGAATTAAATCAAAAACAGTCTATGGGGTTGAAGAGAAAACCCCAACAATCAGCTGATCCCCTGTGTGCAACACAGAGGGCAGAAAGAACTTCTTTTTCTTTTTAAACATGAAGAGATCTCCAGAAGCACCAGGCTGAGGGAGGGGCAGACGTAAACGTCACCCGAGAATCAAGAAAGAAAACGTTGCGATCTGCAGCAGCGAGTGAAGAGGTGGGAGAGGAGAAGGAACTCTCAGTGCATCATGGGAAGTCCTCCAGCAGGCTGAGCCTACAGCAGCAAAGCTGAGAGAGTCTGAAAGTGGAGATTAGCCTGAACACCGAAGGCTGTGTTTAGAAACTCAGTAAACAGAAGTAAGGCAGCAGTCTGAGAGTAAGGTGTTGTGATGGGATTACATGGTACTACGAGGTCGTTGACATTTGATGTGGTCAGATTATTTATGACCTCGAGGAGTTTAAGTTCAACTCTGAGAGCAAATTTTACCAAACTGACAAAGACTAAAGTTAGAGCCACTTCCTGTGTATTTGTATTTTATCTGAAAGTTTAGTTTTTATTTAAATTTCAGAGAACAAAATTTTTTTTCACACACAGATAAACAGATAAATCAGCCCCTGCCATCAAGGATGTCTTCAGAGATCCAATTAAATACGCGTTTAAGCCATAAAGGAAAAAAAACATTTTCTTAGTCATCTTGTTCCAAGGTTGACACTAAAGACCATCTGATGCTTTTCTAATGCCTTTTTAATTTTGAAATGTTGTGCTGATGTTTGTACAAAATGAGGACGTAGACTTTGACTTGGATGTTGGAGAATTTATGTTTTTCATGGTTTTTGGTGCTTTATTAAACACAAATTGATCAAATTATTTGAAATGTTTCAATCATAAGCCCCGGTATGACAGAGTGTCATTAAACTCGGTCCTTTGTTGTTGGTTTTTGCACGGAAAAAGCTTTCAATATATTAAAGGCTATGCTACACTCTCAATGACAGGAGAATAAATGCGACTCTTTCAACTTGTGGCAACATGACTGCAGATTTGTTCCAAGGCTTTTGGAACAAAACATTTATTTTTCAGAGCTGCTCAAATAAAATCTCTGGAATGACTGCTGAGATTCAAACAATAAGCAGTTGTTCATAAGTAACGCAAACTCATCTATCACTGTTTTAAAAATCAAAGGAATGTGACTCTGTCCTCGGTAAAACCTTTAAATCAAGTCTGACAGACACTTCAGTTCAGTTTGGACATTAAACTCTGTGAGAAAATATACAATCTGTCACATTTAGACACTTTTATAGAGAAAGAACTTGGCTTTGAAAAACCTCAGGTCCACCGTCATCTTCATCCTTTGTGATTGGTCAGTTCGAAATGCTGCTGAGGAGTCCACTCAAAACAAAACAAACAATAAACAACCAAAAACAAAAAAACAGGCCATGCAGAACCAGAGAAAGGCGTGACCTTTAAAATCGGCCAGTAAGAGCAAAGCAACAACCCTTAAATGGCTCTGAAAGTCGTTTCTGACGAAATCCAGCAGAAGGTGAGTTTATAAAATGTCAGTGTTGGTGCTGAAATTAAATTCCAACTGGGAGAGAGTCGCCTGGTAGCTTAAAAAATGAGGGAAAAAAAGATGAGACTGTTTTAAAAACAGTCAAGAACCTTTAAGGAATCTGCAGAGAAAGGTGCATTGAAAACAAGACAGAAATAAATAACCTCGAATTTAAAAAACAAAAGATCCCATCAGAAAAAATGTGAGATTATGAGGAACTGCAGATCCTTTTACACACAAACATGTGAACGTTCGTGAGACCCTCCTTCCAGTCCGCGATCAGTTACTCCCAGAAAACGTCAAGTCAAATCTTCTGTTTAGTAAAAACTCAAATAAGAGACGGCTCCAGCTTTTCTCCGGTTCCCCTCCGTCACACACTGAAGAAACCGTTTGAAAACAGACATTTGTTTGCTGTCAGTTTTCAGTAAGCAGACCGGCTATAAAAGCCATCTTCAAGGTTAAGCTGTTTTATTTGACAACAGTCACGTCAGAGCACTTTTGCATCGTAAGGTAAAGACCTCACAATATTATAGAAAGAAATCCAACGACAGGTTTAAAAAACACTAGTAGAAAAAGAGAAAAACATCCCTCCGTCTTCTCGTGGCCTTTAGTTGCCGTTTATGTCCTCGTGTCGGGTTCAAGTCGAGAGAAGCATCTGGTTCTCTCGAAACCCCGCTGTCATAGTGTTTGAGTACAAAGCTATGAAAGAAACAGGAAGGTGGAGGGAGGACAAAGCGCAGATTCCCACCTGTTGGAAAGTGTAAGAATCAGCGGAGGGTCTGACTGATCCTCGGCTGTGAACGCGTCCACCAGTGAAAGGCCCACACAAACCATGACACCTACCAAAAAGAGTCAGCCGATGCAGCCTAAACTTCTCATGGCGTCGGGTTTTTAGTGATGCATTTCAGAGTCAGTGCAGATCCGGCTTTTCCTCCGACCCTCCAGGAGTTGAGGAGATCATTGGGCGAGGTTGTGCCCGGTGAAGAGCTGCTTCAGGCGGGCGGGGAGCTCAGGGCTTCTGGGGCCCCGGGGAGAGGACCACGGGGGTGGAGAGGCCGTCGACGCTCAGAGCCGGGATGTGGATCTGATTACTGCCGTTAGAGGGAAACTGAGAAGAGACAGAAAGAGACACTGAAGATGAAAACTTGACGTTTTATTTTGAAGGGATGTTAGAAAACATCCTGCCAACTTGGTAAAAATCAGCTGTTTTTCAGCTTCACTTTCTTTTTTGTCTTTCTGTAGAACATGATGCACACTGATGAGGTTTATGAATTCTTTTTCTTCCTCAGTAGCCAATTTACTGATTCTAGGACATTTAAGGCATTTTTAAGCAAACTGAGCCCGTCGCTTCTGAACACTTTAAGGTTTGCACATTGACGGAAGAATGTGTAACTGATTCCTTTTTATGCCTGCATGTCATTTTATCTGTAAACACAAACGCTTTGAATAAAGTTTTGATGTTAACAATCCATTAAAATTTGGTTCTGCAGTCTTTTATTTATTTATTGGTTGAAAACTGCCTCAACATAGAAACCATGATTCTTACAAGTGTGGTGTGTGTTATCCACATGTAGAAAGTAACATTAAAATTTAAAGTATCATGTCACATTTGACCTCTGACCTCACATCTGGATTTCTTTCAAGTTGACCTATAAATATTTTATATCTTTAAAATATAGTCAAGAAAACGAGAATGAGCTGCCTAGTTAGAAATAAACTGTAGCATAATGTTACATCATAAGTTGGTGTTATTCATGCTACTCTTAAACAATGTTTGCATACAAAATACAAACACTATTCCCTTAAAAGTAAATCGTGCCCAGAGACTGAGGTGTCTTGGTGGAGATTTGCGATCTTGCAGTGTATCTCGTCTCATTACGTTTTTCCAAGAATAACACATCACACAATGACTCAAATTAAACACTTTGTCTTCAGATTAAAGGTCGAACATTTGAGTCTCTGGAGAAAAGTACTTGAAATGGTTAAACTATATAAAAGCAAAACTCCCAAACAGTGTCTGTAAACTCTGTAAAGTCCCACTGGGCACGTGATGGAAGCTGAAAAAATATTCTGACACTTCATTTACTTAAAATACAGACATAACCCTGAGAAACCCAGGACTCAGGGGTACTTACTATGATTTAAGCCTGCCTGGTTTACCTGTTCTTTACTTACATTTTTAACGTAGTACTCATAATCTCAGGCCTCAAGGGTTACCCGTACCTCTGCCTGCTCTAAAACTGCACACTTTGCCCTTGTACACTGGTCTGTCTTGATAAAGAGGCAACCTGTTTAAATAACAGATATTTATTTATAGTCTCACTAGATCACTGAGGTCTGGTGAGCACATGGTGGAAAATCTTTCATATCTGAACATTTCCGCTCGGACACAGAACGCTTAAAAACTCTCCTTTTGGTTTCTTCACACTTGTAGCCCAAATCCTCATCTTACAATGTAAAAAACCAGCTGAACACTTTTTCCCGTTACTGAAGAGTTAAAATGGGTTAAAACACAGCTTTTTCTAGCAGGTCATGAAAGATGTTACAGAGGAGCTGCAGGGTTTTCACAGCCTGCAGTTTTTAGCTGCACCACAAGGAGGCGACAAAGTATCACAGCGTCACGATACAAACAGCAGAGAAAACTTAACACATTTGTTTCAGAACACAGGACGAAATGACTTAATGATACTAGTTATAGACAAATAAATGCTTAAACTACCCAACTGTGCACACAGGCATGCAAACATTAAAAAATATTTAACGTTTGAAGCTTTTCCCTCTTCTTTTTAAAACATTTTTTGGCCTAGATCCTCGCACCGCCCATCCTTCCTGCCTCCAACACATCAGCTTCAAGCGTTCCCTGTTCAACGGCTGTCTAATATAACCCACATCCTGACAGGTCCCATTGTAACGAGATAATGTGCAGTGTATTTTAGTGCATTATAATCATTATTACGACTCCGTCAGAGAGAAGACTCAGAATGTGCTGTTGTTTATGCACCGAGTGAACTGAACCTTTAATAACAGATAACAGACGGACTTCAAGCTGGGCCAGAAACCTGCAGACACACAAACCAGCTCTGTGTATTCTCGTTCATCTATCAATGTGGGGACTTGTGTGTATCTTAGATCATGCGAGGACGCCCCTCCTCACTTTGATTGAGACCTTCAGGTTTAAAGGGTTTACACCTGGATTTAGGATTCATGTTTAGAACTATATTCAGATTAAGGCTGACGTCAATATGAGTCCTCACATAGTATATGTGTGTGTTTGCGTGTGTGTGTGTGCGTGCAGGCACCCTGGATCAGATTCAGGTACCCGCAGTGCACAGTATCCGTGTGTGTGTGTGTGTGTTTGTGGTAGAGGAGCTTGTGTCCTGAAAACCAGTTTTTATACTTTGGTGATTCTGTGATGATGCTTTCCTCTTCAATGCCAAATAAGTAAATATAAGGGCCTCCCATCAATGATGGTCATCCATAAATCGTCTTCTAATTTCACTACATAAAGCCAGTGTGGCCAGACACCATGCTACAGAGTCTCCACTGAACATATGACTGATGCTGCGCTGATGCTTCATCGTGTCATTTTATCGCTCAGTAAATTGAAGGCGAGTCAGTTTTCATGAGCGAGCGACAGTTGCTGCTTCATACAGTTGACTTACTCGTTCTGAAAGTGTGTTAACGCACAGACTCCCATGTTAAAATGCACAACTTTACAGCATTAAAAGGCATGTTTACAGCCTGGTGCAAAATCCCTTTTGGGCCTCTATGAATATTTTCCACCTTCATAACAACTGAACAGGCAGTGAATGCATCACAGTGTGGGACCTGCTCAGTGCAGACGTCCATCAACACTTCCCAGAGAACCACCGGCTGCACATTGCCCTCCCTGGAGGACATCTCCAGATCTTGGTGTCTCAGCGGGGCGAGGAAAATAATTTAAGACCCTTTTCACCCTGGACATCTAACTGTTCAACCTCCTGCCCTGCAGCACAGGTGCACCAAGCGCCGGGTAAACAAACGCAGTTTTTTCCCCTGAGCTATCACAAATTTGAGCTTGTATAAATAAACAAAACAAATGATTATTTAGCAACTAATGTGAAGTTCAACAGTGAATGGTGAATCCTTAATATGTGTGTGTCTTCTTTATAGCAGCCTTTATTCTTTACATAGTTTTATAAGCTTTCACTGTTTTCACTCATTTTTCTACTTCAATGTTTTTGCACTGTACAGAATATTACACCAAATCTTGGATATGTCTTATGTACAATGGCGATAAAGGCTTTCTATTCTACAGTACGGCTTCTGCAAGAAGTTTGTGGTTCTGTTTTGTTGCACTAATTAGCCGGTGTCTGTGTGTGATGCACCCATACAGTCTGTAGCTGCAGCTTGCTGCACAACCCAAAACCAAAGGGTGACATGATGACGCTACGTCCATCTTTTATACAGTTTATGCTTTTAACCACTCACTTCTACGCCGGGCTGTGAAAACACAGCCTTAGGGAAATAAGAGAATTTTTCTGCTTTTATGTTTATATTTGTTTAAAACTTGGCTGCAGAAAAATATTTCAGTGAAAACTTATTTAATGACAAACTCAACAGCAAACATGCACACAGAGATCAAGGGACGATAATGATGACAGACGGCCTCTAAAATGATCTTTTCAGCGCAGACTGAGACATGAATTGTTGCAGAAGGAATGAAGGGGATCACCACAGGCAGTAGGATTTCACTTCTGGTGTAAATGAGCATCTAAGTGTCTAAACTTCCCAACTAACAGCTGCTGATGTATTGAACGTGAACCAGAGTGCATGACGGCGTGCGTGAAGCGGCAAGCAGAACTGCAAACTTGCTGCACAAACGTGTGAATTTTCTGTGAAACTGAAGCTGTGGTTTCATTTACCAAACCTGCATACAGACAAAGACCAAAGCATTATGTGGCTGTAAGGTAAGGTTCAGTGTGAGCTCTGCAAATGAACAACCTACAGATTATATTTTAAAAGACGAGTATCTTAATGTGAGAACCAGCTCTGAACACTTTTTTCTTTCAGTTTTCACCACAAACTTCACCTGCAGACTGATTCTTTTCTCTTTCACCAAAACAATATTGTCTTTTAGTTCCTGCACATGTTTCCAGCTGATTAAAGGATTTTACTGTGAAGGAGTTTTGGTACTGAAGTGAATTTTGTCGCACTTGTTATCGTCCATTTGTTTGTGGATTTGTGTTTCAGGATGTGGGAACTGCATGCAGTGGGCTCAGTGTATTTATTACCTGGAAGGAAAGTTTAGCTGGCGATCGAGGAGCGATGGGACTGAGCGTGCTCCAGAAGTGGATGGTGGAGGGAAGAGGGCTGGGAGTCAACAGGACCGGAGTCTGGAAGGATAAATGGACAGAAACATCCAAGAGTGTTTGACAGGAACGAACGTTTCAAGGAAAAACAATTGACAAATGATTCAACTTCCTGTGTGGACGTCCCAACCAGATTCAGTTCTGTTTACATCAACAAGTCAGAGTATCTAACAGTGAAATCCGTCTTTATTCCTTTCTGTGGAAGGAATGCAGGTTGTTCCTATCAGCCGCTCTACAAACGCAGATGACACATTTAAAGACAGAAAATGTTTAAAAAAAAGAAGAAGCTTTAATTCAAGAACTCCTGACACTGCAGAACAAATCAAAAACAGGAAGAATGACTCATCAAAACAAGCTTTAATATCAATGCAGCATTTCAGATGAAGGTTAACTGAACAATGGACTAAACCAGAGCTCAATCTGATCTCAGCCAGTTAAACTTAAACTTGAAAGTCTTCATATGTGCATATACTCTAAATTTGTTTTAGAGTGAACAAGAACAAGTTCTTAATGAAAATGTTTGAATTCAATGTACCATCCTTTTAGCTGATGATATTGGGAGAAAAACAGATCACAGAGGATTTATAAACACATACAAGACCTTCACATGTAATTAGGGACTGAAGAACAATATTTTGATTCACTTGTATTGAAAATGACTTTGAGGTCATTAAACGTTTTTCTAAAAACAACAACAACCAACAAGATGAAAAAATGATCTTTTTTATGAATAAAGTTATTTATGATTCAAACATGTTTCCCGAGACTTTGAACTTTGGGTACATTTCTGTTCCCGTGCACTAAAATGCACGATCCATGCTGCACGTTTGGCACCTCTACGCTAATTAATTTAGTTTTATTTACACAGCGCGAAATCACCACAACAGTCGCCTCAACGTGCTTTATATTGTAAGGTAGACCCTACAATAATACATACAGAGAAAAACTCAACAATCTTATGACCCCCTATGAGCAGCACTTTGGCGACAGTGGGAAGGAAAAACTCCCTTTTAACAGGAAGAAACCTCCAGCACAACCAGGCTCAGGGAGGGGCGGGGCCATCTGCTGTGACCGGTTTGGGGTGAGAGAAGGAAGACAGGATAAAGACATGCTGTGGAAGAGAGACAGAGGTTAATAATAACTTACAATTAAATGCAGAGAGGTGTATAAACACATAGTGAGTGAGAAAGGTGACTGAAGAAGAAACACTCAATGCATCATGGGAATCCCTGGCAGCCTACGTCTATTGCAGCATAACTAAGGAAGGATTCAGGGTCACCTGGTCCAGCCCTAACTATATGCTTATAGTGTCTGTCTCCTGAATCCAAACTGGAAGCTGGTTCCACAGAAGAGGGGCCTGAAAACTGAAGGCTCTGCCTCTTGTTCTACTTTTAAATACTCTAGGAACAACAAGTAGGCCTGCAGCGCGCGAGCGAAGTTTTCTACACTAAACTCTCACAGTCTGCTGTGTGTTACGTGATTTGAAATAAAGATAATTTAAACAAACAGCTATAGACAAAACAACAGATAAGTGACGTTCCAGGGAATTCAAGGTCTGTGGTGCTGTAGAGGAAAGTGTTTCGTGTCGACTTGTTGTCAGCAGCAGCGATGCAAAGAGGATCGCTGCTAGAACGACACAATCCTCCAAGTTGCGAACAGACGCCTATATGAATAAAGACACGTGTGCCACACATAGACAAGCGAGTGTTTACCAGAGCGTGGGAGGTGATGACCGTCGGGGTGAGCGTGTTGGTCGCTGATCCAGGAGCCAATAAACTGTTAACTGCTGCATTCACCTGCAGAAGGAACAGGAAGCAACAGCACACGTTTACCTCTAAACACAGCACGATCATTCACTCATACACTTGCACATATACACAATATATATAAATCCCTATAATCCCATAGTTTGGAGAAAATAAATAAAAATGTTAAAAGCTCTGATGTGTTTTTGGATTTTTATTCAATCTTGTGACTGCCAAGGCTCACACGGGGTTAGAGTTCAGGGTGAAAAGCGCCTACACGCTGTGAGATTTCAGCAAACCTAACAGTCGATTAGAAGTGTGTCACAGAGCTAACAAACAGACTGCAGAATGATTAAACTTATGAATCATGGACTGTGGAGAAGATTTTTGTTTACGTGTCACATTCATCTTGGTGGGCTCATGATAAGGACTCGAGGACGCAGCACACAAAATATCTTCAGGGTTTTCCTGGATAAAAACATTTTTGGCAACCTGAAAACTTACACAGCTTTACTACAATATTCAAGACTTTAGAGCTCTTTAAAATGATCACCGAGGACCAAACTCTCTACTTAAATTATTTGTTTGTTAAACAACACGTTCTGGGCGTAGCAGGCCTGCTTTGTGTGGGCGTGTCCTATCGCTCCCTGACTCCTTTCCTCCTGCAGAGTCAGCGCACAGCTGACTCCACACAGCAAACGACACTCGAGTCCAAAAGCTGTGAAGAAGAGTCGGTCAGTGCCAGTGGGCAGGCTGGCAGTGTCGTTTCCTGCTGTGTGGAAAGGAGTGCATGTTCCGACTGTTTCATAACAGCATCGACATCTTTCTGCTGATGTCGCTTTGCTTTTGATAGAAATAACTGCCCAGCTGTGTCCCTATTTAAGATCCTTTTAATAAAACCTAAATCAATAAAAGATATTTAAAGTGATTATTTATGCAGAAGTGGAAATATCTGGGTTTTTACAGACTTAAAATGAGCCTCTGTGGGGGTGGCCACGGACTTCTGCATGACTGGCAATTAATTTTTGTTACTGTCTTAACAGTAGTCTCTGCATATTCCTGTTATTTGTTGTCATTTGTAGTCGATCCACTGTCACTTTAAAAATATGTATTACAACGTGTACAATAAAATATATATGGACTTTTACTCTTTGTTAGCAGGATATATGTTATAAATTTGTGGTTACACTTAATCTTGTTGTATTCTGAAGTTGTCTTATAGTCATTTACATTTGCAGTATGTGCTGCTGATGTTTAAAGAAAACAAAACGAACACATCCAGAGCGGCTAAAAGCTTTAAGAGAAAAAGCTAAAAGCTTTTCGTCCTGGACGTTTTATTTAAGTGCTGTGAGACTCACATCACAGACTCAAAGGATTCTGAAAACTTCAATTTATCTGATAAATGTCTAACGTTCAAGTTGTTACATAGCACACATAGTGATGTTTCTCCATTTCACAAACAAAACCTGCATTTTTCTAGTGTTAAAACATGACTATATGAGAAAATGTCTTTGAGGGATTCACAGCTAGATGATGAGCCTGGTATCAAAGCAGAGGTGAAAAGGTGACTGTAACTGTTTTGACCAGTCACTTATCCCGCCGGTTGCTATGACATTTGATTTTATGTCATAGAAACCCATAGCAGCCATAGTTTACTGACCTCAGACTTTGTCTTCCTGACTTTCTGTTTTAAATATTTTTTTTATGTTTGTGAAGCACATCTGAACTTTTACATGTGATGTTTAGTAAAGTGACCAGCAGTGTTGCGGACCTTATCGAGGGAGAGGCCGGGGGGCAGGGAGGGAGAGGAGGGCAGCTCCAGGCCTCGTGGCTTCTTTTGTTTCGGAGGAACGGCGTCCGAGGATGAAGCCGTTGGAGAGGTCACCGGCGAGGACGTCGTCACCGGGGGGATGACTGGATCTGAAGGAAACAAATCGCAGGAATGAAATCTAATGAATTATGGGAATAGACATAAAAAGAGGAGGCGGTCTCGGTGGGCTCCACCCAGAGAGGGAAGAAAAACCCTTTCCTCAATCAGGGAGATCATCTAAAATGCTTTCCTGTCACCTGTTAGCGTGTCCTGGCCCTCACCCTCTGTCCTCCCCTCCTCTGCTGGCTGCTGAACTCCAACCCCGGCATCAATGCAGGGCGGGGGCGGGCTTTCCACAATGGTGGGGGGAGGCTCTGGCTCTCCCGAGTCACAGATCAGCTGAGGAACCTGGATGGAAGAGCACAGGGCACCACCTTAGCACCATGTTTCTGTTAAACCTTTATTAAAAACCCAGAATTTCCTCCTCCTCCTCTTACCTCCTCCACCTGTTTCCCATCCAGTGTCACCATCTCCAGCAGCTCCTGCTCTGACGGCAGATTCTCCTCCTTGATGACGATGGGTGGAGGACGGGCGGTGGGAGGAAGAGCGACAGAGGGAGGAGGAGCAGCAGTCGTCATCGGCACCTGTTGCTGCTGCTGATTGGGAGGTGGGTTGATAATAACGAACACAGGGGCAGGGTGAGACTGATGAGGAGCAGCATGCGGGTGGTGCGAGGGGAAGTTGGTGGGGTTGGTAAGGCCCCCGCAATCCTCCTGCTGTGGGCCCTGTGTACCCATTGAGACATGAGGAGGGGGGACAGGGCTCACCGTGCCCCCTCCGAGAGTGATGAGGGTGGACGGGTCCCCCATGTTGGTGAGATAAATCTGGGGAGGGTCGCTCAGCGGAGCAGCAGGAGGATTCTGGGAATGTAAACCAGAGACGAGAACATTAATAAAGGGGATGTTATTTTCCATCATATTTATAACGTTCCAGTGGTGGATGTTCATACTGAATACTGATAAAGGTCCAAATAATGACTTCAGTAGATGTACAAGTAACCCCTGTGAGTCAAAAACAGGCTTCATTTAAAGTAGTTTTTTCTACTCTTGGATCCGTACGATGTCACTGAGAGCAGAGATATCTCATAAAGTCATCTAACGCTGGGCACACTGTGCGATTTTTGGCTCATTTTGAGCCGATTTTTCAGTCGTGCGACTGTTTTGGTGATCGGCCCGAATTTCGCCTTCATCGTGTATCGTGTAGTATACGTGAGGTAACGAGAAGCGATAAACACCTCACGACCAGCTCCCGATCATCAATCGTTTGGTCGTAAGAAAATCAAACCTGTTTGAAATCCTGTCGGCCGTCCTGAGGGCGTCACCGCAGCCTCTCACACTGCGCACACGCAAACGCAGAAATGAAAGTGAAAAGACGGAGCAGCACGGCAGCACAGTGGGTGATCTGGACCCAAGCGATGGAGGCACAACTTGTAGGATGAGGCAAGCTCATCTGAGCCTTTTCGATGTGGCCTCACAAAATTATCACGACTACAACAACCATGAAAATAGTTGGATTTACATGCTGCTCAATCACAGCTGCCAATCACGTTTTTCATTAGAAATTTAGCAAAGTTGATGGTGTGTGTGTGTGTGTGTGTGTGTGTGTGTGTGTGTGTGTGTGTGTGTGTGTGTGTGTCTGTGTGAGTGAAAGACAAGAGAGAGGAGAGCGAGCGACAGATTTCTGTTATAACCTTCATTTTATGGACGCACAGCGTGAGCATTGGGCCGTATAGTGTGAGACCCTGCGTCGTGACCTACGAACTTCTAACCCCTGCGAGTCAATCGTGCAGTTTGAGCAGAAGCTGGATAACGCGAGTGGAAAAAAAAAAATCGCACAGTGTCTGTCCAGCTTTAGGTGTTCTCGGACAAGTAACCAAGTACCAGGCGTGACTTTTTACTGACCTGTGATTGGCCATTGGAGTTGGCTGGTATCTGTGGGCTGAGAGCCGGGGTCGGACAGGGAGACGTCTGAGTGACGATCACCTGGAGAACAGAGTCCGCAGCGCTCCCCACGGACGGAGAGGATTTAGACTCCGGTAACACACACACCTGAGGAGGAGGACACACCAAAAAAGGCCTGGAGTTAGAGCAGCTGATTGCCACAAATAGTGCATGTGCACATGCGTGTGTTCGTCATATGGCACAGACATAGATATGGCACGGCAGCGCAAGGGTCAGGAAGAAAAAGTGTATTAGAGATCCATTTGAAAAATAGAAAAATAAATAAGAAAAAAAAGCGTTTAAAAAATAAATAATACATTAACAGGAGTAAAAGCTAAATATTGCTTTTACTCCTAATCAACTTATAATGACTACGACCCTCAAGATGGGTGAAGTTAAGTATAACAAGAAGAATACACTGATTTGACAAAGACTAACCAAATGTCATTGAAGACACAACCAGCCCCATCTATCTATGGGGCTCAAGAGCTGTGAGGCGATCGTGGCTCAAGAGTTGGCAGTTTGTGTTGTAATTGGAAGGTTGCCGGTTCGACCCCCTGCTCTCTCTGTCCTGGTCGTTGACTAAGTAAAGCGCTATACAAATACAGGCCATTTACCATCTATCTGTGCATAGACTGGCATTAGGAGCCCAACAAGATTACATTTTCACTGCTTACATGTACAAAGACAGTGATGTGAAAACAAGTGTCTAATATTTCCTATGAACAGCACCTCGTTTTTCTGTTCAATTTTGCTGTGATGTGACTCTGGATCAACTTCAGAAGTAGGTCATTAACTGTGACTAGGTCCTCCTCTGGTAAAATAAATACGTTTGCAAAAAAAAAAAGCAAATCCTTTCACAACCCGCATAAATCACAGGAATTAAATAACAAAAAAATGTTAGCTGCACAACCTCAAGCAGTGTGAAACACAAAGTCCAGCAGCTGCGCTGAATTATTATTATTAGTATTATGAAGTGCACAGAGGGGTCAGGGGGTAACATTTAACTCTTTTTACCTCTCTCGGTGTGCGATCAACCTTGGGGACAGGCTCTTGTTGCAGGAGGAGCTCTGATTTGATTGGCCGTGGATTGGGTGAGGCCTGCAGGGATTGGATGGTGAAGGTGGAGTAGAGGCCGGACTTCATGTAGTCGTTTCTGGAGCTCTTCTGGGAGCTGCTGGGTGACGAGCGCTGGTGATCCACGCAGACAGACGCAAAGAAAGAAAAAAAGCAATCAGCCAATTATTCATAACACCCTGTAGGAAACAAAGGAAGTGTGGACGTACCTGGGGCAAACCCTTTGTTGGACAAGTTGGTGCCACGCCCCCAAGGCTTTTTGATTGGTTGTTTGAGTCGCTGACGTCCCTCCTCTGGCCCTCCTCTATACTGCGTATCCCATCGGGGAGGGAGGGATCAGGCTGACTTACAAACTTATAGACAAACTTCTGGCCGCTCACCTTCTTTATGATATTCTGAAAGAGGGGGAAAAATGGTGAGCCTGCCGACCTGGAGGTAACGTAGTACTCGTTTTGCTGCAGTAACAGTGGTATTATCAGCAGTACCTTGTCGTAGTAGTATCTCAGTGCCCGGCTCAGTTTGTCGTAGTTCATGTTGTGCTTGTTCTTGCGGAGCCCCCACAGGCGGGCCACCTCCTCGGCGTCTAGCAGCTTGAACTCGCCGTCCTCACTTGTCCAGGAGATCAGGTGACGCTGCCGCTGGTCCTCCAACAGATGAAGCAGGAACTGCCACAGCGTGATGGACGGGTCCATCGCTGAGGACACGGACAGACAGTTGAGGATTGTTTCAAAAATAAAGACCATGCTTATTATAGTCATTTATGGGCAGCTGAATAACCACTTAAATCCAGCTATTAGTTATACTTTGGAAGAAAGGAGTTCTTTCACTGGCTGGCAGGAATAAATATTTAAGATTTCAAAATATTCTAAAAACACTTCAGCAACTGTATTTGAAGGAGACATGTGAGGCAAAACTGCTTTACATCTACACTCCCGGGCATTCCCAGGCGCGCCACACGCAAGCCTACAAAAACAAACAAACAAAAAAATAAAAATAATAAAAAAGACGAGGAGCACAAGTGTCACCGTCTGCACGGCTGCTACGCAGTCTGCTGCCCCCCGAACACCTTGTTGGCTCCGTCTGCATCCCGAGTGGAGGATGCAACCCAGAAGGAAACGGCGATCAATCCTGGGAGATGTGCTTTACATTCAAAACCATCTGCTACACTGGCTTCAACTCGCTTACAGATTAGCCAGCATATCACACCGCTCCTTTCTGTGCCCAATTTTTCATCTGTCAATTTTTGAAGAAGAACCATGTTTATTAAATCAATTACTTAAGACTGACTAAAATAATGGAGACTATGGTTTCCAGTCAGAAATCCAGCATAAAGCTCAGTGTAAAACTGCTGCAGGAAACCAAACAGGTCATCAGAGTAATGAATGACAGGTGAGAGCACAGGTGGGCCAGCTCACCTGAAACAAACATCAGTTTACGGTATAAAATCACAACAGAAAAATAATCTGCCACAGTTTTACGAGAAATAATAAGTCATTTTAAAGCTGAAACTTGCTTAAAGCCTCTGAGTGTAATACTTTCTGACTGTCAGACACAATCACACAGTCAGGGGATTTAAGAGAATGAGTACTCTCCAGCAGAAGCCAGAGAGAGACTCCTCTGAGAAGGTCAACATTAAACAGATTACACAGAGGGAGATGCCTGTCAGCCATGGAAATGAACCTCATTACCATTGGCTGACCTGGTACACAACTAACCTATCGAACACCTTGGAAACCATCGCCATGGTGAGACCTTTCATCAATGGTAACCAAGGGCGAGGAGAGAAAAACAGAGCAATGAGGAGGGTTCACTGCTGACATCAGCTCACCTCTGCTGCTGCTGCCCTGCTCAGAGGCACTCAGTACAGCCACTGTGGTGTCAGCATGAATCTGACACACGGAGGACCAGGGATACTCGAAGGAGGATGTGAAGCCCTTATAAATGTTAATGATAACGCTGAAGATTATTATTGGTTTTTAGCAGTATTTACAGTTTGTTTACAGTTATTTGTTGTTGGCAGCAATAAAAAGCTGACCTCTATAGTGGGATGGTCACCGCTGTGAGAGAGGGATGTGGTCAGAGTGCGATAATATACATGTCCACATTTTGAAAGCAGGCGCAGTAGCTCATCTGGTCATTTTGATTCACAGGTTATTACGTGAAGTGACAAATGTGACCTTGACCTTCAGCACAATCACAGGATTCACAGAATCACCAATCAGCACACAGCGTGACCTGACCCTGGACGGGATAACCCACCCAAATATATTAAATATCTTAAATTTTTTTCTTGGATGTGTATTTTTTTATGCATCCAAGGGGACGCCACCATCCATGTTCAGCTTATCACTAGCTAATCCCCTCGCTCTTATTTTGAAAGTCCAGTTACTGCTAACTAGCTCTGACTCCTCTAGACTGGGCTCCGTCTTCCCGAGCTTGCTGCGGTGCATCACTGTGGAGCTGCACTCCAGTCCCAGAGTAAAGACTCTGCATTATGGTCCAATTTATTCTATACTGGACTATTAAAATATTTAAAGAGCAGAACCTTTAAATGAATATTTATCTAAATAAATAATTCAAGCAAATGTACATGAAACTTATTTCAGCGTGCAAGTTAAAGACACTGATCCAACTTTTCCCAGTACTGAGCCAAGACCCATGATAAAATGAATGATCTGTATCAATTACTATGAGGAGGCGGCTGGGATTCATTCTTTACACATACGGAAACATGTGGCTCCACTTAAACACAGATTTCCTAACTTTGTACAATAAAATGTGACAAACAAATGCATGAAAACTGAAAAGCATCTAAATGATCATATGCTGTAAGCTTCTTCCATACTATGTGAGCCCTCCGTCCCAGCAACCCACAAACCACTGCTGGCATGCCACATAGTAAACAAAGAAGAACTGGATAAACCAGATAATCGAGTTTGGGAGCGAGCATCAGATCCAAATCAAACACCGTTCCAGACTGTTACTGTTCGCTAGTGCAAGTGCACATAATTAGGCACAGTCAAACTCAATAAATCAGAACAAAAAGAATGTAAGTGGATGTGAAGAACTGCAGAGACGTCAACAGAAACAAGTTTTAACTAGCAGAGCAGAACGGTTTACTTTTTCTTTGAGAGGTTAAAAAAGGAAAAGCCTTTGCTCTTCAAACAACGCTATAGCTGCAGACAAAAGGGAAATAAAAGCACCACAAAAGCAGTACCTGGGTAAATACACTTTATTATCTTCCACCACTGCTGCTCAGTAATGATAGAGCAGAGGCTTCAGCAGAATTCTTGGTGTGCTGTTTACCTTGTGCAGGAACAGCAGAGCAAAACCGTGAACCTGATCTCTGCAGGAAAATTCACACAAACACATGACGACGATTACGCCAGATACAAGGGCGCTGCGCGAATTAATGAATGCAGCAGCTAATCTCTGCGCGCAGGTTTCAGCGTGGCACAGAGACGAGTCAGATTGCCCTCACACTGTGAGCTGACCATAACAACCACCGCCGCAGACGGTGGGAATCCCATTAGAAATTCTGGTTTCTGAAAAAGAAACTGCATCTGATGAGTTAAAAAATAACAGCCGGAGCCGAGCGACTCGTGCACCTCTCTGCTGACAGTGCAGCGCATTTATTTAACCTTTATAAAAGCTTCTTCCTCCCCCCAGCTGCCGGATCTTCTGTTCCATCAATCCCTGTAAATAAATAATGTGAATGCTGTTTAAGCATTTCACATAACTGAGATCCTCCTGCACTTTTTTGGCACTTAACTACTTCTGTATACTTTGTGCTACGGAAACCGTTCTTTTTATGAGTTTTATTTGTTGGTTTGAATGAAATGGAAAAATCTTCTAATCCTCTTTAAACCCACCCTACTTTTAACTAGTTCCGCATACTTTGAGCTAGAGAAAAAACTTTAAACCGGTCCCAACACCATTAAGGTATTACTAGTTTTGTTATATCTTTTATGGTTTTCAAAAGCCCTGCATCATGGATGGATGGTTTTCAAACAGTGACATTTTAAAATTTATAAAAGAAAAACTAGAAACTAAGGCTACGTTCACACTGCAGGCGAAAGCCCATCAAATCCGACTTTTTTGACCCTATGCGACCATCTATCCGATCATGGTGTGACAGTGTGAACGGCACAAATCCGATATTTTCAAATCCGATCTGGGTCACTTTCGTATGTGGTACTGAATCCGATGCATATCCGATGTTTTAGAAAGCGACTGCTGTGTGAACGGTCACGTCGCATTAAATCCGTCTTTTATGTCACCGACACAAGACAGACGCCAATTATCAGCACCGGAGAAGCGCCGGAGAAGACATCGCAAACGCTTCCTGGCCATCCAGTGAAACTGTTGGGAAGACAACGTTGGAGAAACGTGAACATTTTCTTTGTACTGTATAATCTGCAGATTCTGACAGAAATCTGCAGCTATCCTTTGAAGCACCGCTCCTCTAAAAGAGCAATCATGATCATTATTAGGCCAAATGTAAATAACAAAATAACTTTATAACTTAAAGCAAAATTGGGAAACGTAAAGTCCGAAACAAGTCTTTATATTAAGGGCCATCAGTCACACAATGCTGTTTGGTCTGGGTCTATACAGAGCGCGTTGTGTGTGACGTCTTCTTTTGCGCATGCGGGCCGGTTTGAGGGTTCACACTAGAGCGCGTTTGCTGTCACATTTTATTTGTAGTGTGAAGAAGCAGAGAAAAAATCAGATTTGATCAAAAAATCTGAATAGAGCACGAAGACCTGCAGAGTGAACGTAGCCTAAGACTCAAACTCAAGTTCTCAAACCAATTACAACATCTCACTCTGTGTATTTGCACGAGTCTGAGCTTCGGTGTAGGATTTTTGCGACAGCTGCAGATCAATGCTCAAAGTTACAAAAATGAAGAGGTGACTGACCAACGCACTACAAAGATTGTCTCTCACAACACAGGATGTGATGTGAAAATCGTCATGTGACACCTGAGACACAAAGGACGCAGTGAGCATAAAAATGACTTAAGGATGCAGACACAAGCTGCTCCTGAAAGGTGGATTTAAATTCAGCAGATTCAGACCAGTGACTGTATAAAAGACACTGGTTCAGACTGATTGGCATAGAAACACAGAGGCAGGTGTGTATCACAGTGTGTGTGTGTCTTTATGTGCAAACATTGCTATGACATGCGCGCACACGCGCGCACACACACACACACACACACACACGCGCGTGCCCACATTTGTGTGATAGGGGTGTTTACAAACTGCCACCAATCAGAAACTGCCTGCTGAGCTAATTTCTGCTCTTTTTCTCTTGTACAGCATTTATTTCAGCACTTCTTCATTTTGATGATCTTCAGCTCCAGTTCTGCTCTTTTTTTGTTTTGAAAAAGGAATTTTCAGCAATTGAAGCTCAGTTTAGCTACTACTTGTTTTTATTTAGTGCATTTTCAGTTTTTGGTACCCTGGCCTTGCGACAGACTGGCGACCTGTCCAGGGTGTACCCCGCCTCTCGCCCTATGACAGCTGGGATAGGCTCCAGCGCCCCCCGCGACCCTGAAAAGGATAAGCGGAAGCAAATGGATGGATGGATGGATGGATGGAACCCTGGCTTTTTATACTTAAGCTGGCTGATATTTTAGTAATCTTAATTCTACTACAGCCAAGATACTTGAGCAACTGAAAAACGAAA